TTTTGGTTGCAGGGAGTGGTGGAGCAGAGGTTAGAGAGGGTGAGCTTGTGATTGGGAGGCCACAGGCTTGACTCCCCGGACCGACCCCCTGCAACCCTCCGCCCCACACAGAGGGCTGCAGCAGCTCGGTGGTCATTGCTGGCACGAGGAAGGACATCTGGGGTAAAAACAAAAGTCTTTCTGCAAGTGAGCTTTCTGTGGTGACCCCTGAAGAAACCCCTTTTGTTTTAAATGAGCTGCCAAGAATCATCAAGCAGAAGATAAGATCACATCTCTGATGGAAATATTTGTAATGTCATATTTTTTAAATGTCTCTCTGATGGATTGTTTTTCTGATTTTTGGGCCAAACTGAGCTCACCTGCAGACCTCATCTGCTCACACACACTCATGTTCGTGCTGCTGTTGTTCGGCATATTGTTTTTTGCACTAGCATATTTCTTAGTTCATATCTTAGATCTTATTACTGTTTTCTTTTACAATTTATACTTTTGTTGGATGTAACTGAGATCCTGTGTACACAATTTTGTTCCACCACATGTACCACATGCTATGCGAATGACAAAGAAACCTTGATCTTGATTTTGACTGCATGTGGCCCACTCGACACCAGTTGAATAGTCCTTGACAAAAATAATAATTAAATACATATCATTTAGTATCAAACGTCTAACAGCTAATTTGCAATAAATAATTTAAATCAGCAGTCATGTTTTGTTGCCAACAATTCTGGGTCATTTGTTTACATTTGACGTAAATAGAATCAGAGGGAGAACAATGGCTGTAAAAGAAAAAAGTACTGTATTGCTTCTGAAAAGAAACGTCACCTTAAATCTGTGAGTACGAGAGTTGACAAAAGTAGTCGGTTCATGGAACTCAGACAGTTAAAGTAAAGGCTGGAGTTAAGATTTTATGCAGTTGAGCTGTGTACTGGTAGAATTTCCAGAGCTGATCGCTGAACTTAGTTATTAACGTAAGTTTTGCTAACAATTTTTTGCTAAATTCCAATGAGATTGAGTTGCATCAAACCTCATAATTATTTCATAATAAAGAAACTGCATCAGAAGCAAAACATTCAAATAAATACACTCAAAAAAGGTCATGTTTTTGCCCCCTCCCCTGTCCTGGCTGTTTGTTTTCTGGTTTTGTTTTTCCTGTCCCTGTCGAGCTCTTCCAGCTCCTGTCACTCATCCTGCTCCACACGTCACTCTCCAATGAAGCTCATGCGCTCCACCTGTCCCACACACTTCATAAGCTCCCTGTCTTCCCTCAGTCAGCGCCAGATTCTTAAACCTTTTCCTAATAGTAGAAGTCCAGCATTCATTATCCTGCCTCTCACCTTTGTCACAAACCCAACCTGTGTTTTGACTCCTCTCTTCACCTGCTCCTTTTGGATTTTGTCTGCTTCTCTGACTCTGTGGTGCAGAGTCTGCGCTCTGCTCACAACTTCAACTTCGGATCACGGATTGGCTCAGTCTTCTGCTCTCTGCTGCCTTGTTTATGACCCCTGCTTTGACACACGGACCACAAACCTGAATCTCCTCTTTACTGGACCTCAGCTTCTGCTTGCTTTGCTGCAGCAGTTCACTCTACTGGACTCTTACTGGAGTGGCATCACCGGCTTCAGCACAATTAAAGCATCTGCCACACCAAGACAGAAGTTAATGAAAAGCTCAACACTTCTTTGCACTTCCTCCTCCTAGCCCAGTTCACTAACATCTCTGTCTTGACAGATCGGACCCGGCACAGGACCCAGACCTCTGCCAGAGCTAGTTTTCAAGACAATAAACTTGTTGAACCTTTCTTGGTGTTGTGCTGATCCAAACTGGTTCTTGGGGAGAGAAACCCCCCCCCCCCCCCCCCGCATATTTTGACAGCCATAATGACTTTAAGATGCCAGTTTTATCATGAAATCAACTCAATTTGTGAAGTTAAAATGATTTCCATCCGTTTATCAAAATGTTATTTGTGAACAACCAAATGCTGTTCAGATCTTATTGTCCATATGAATATTGTGATTTAAAAAAAAACGTTTTGGTGTTGTGGCATAAAATTAGAACTGGTGTTTTGAAAAACCAAAAAGTAGTAAAACTTACTGAGGTGAGGAAACAGGTTGCAGAAAGATTTTGTAAGGAATACGTCTGATTACTCTCAGAAATTGGTTTCTCAGAACACACCATTGGTTGGTTCTCTAACTATCTTTCAGACCGGAGGCAATGTGTTCAACATAATGGTACTTCCTCCAGTTATTTAACAGTCAACAATGGTGTACCACAAGGCTCAGTCTTAGGACCTACCCTCTTTACAATCTACATACATAATGTAGGTAAAAAACATCCCTAATGCATTCATACATTTCTATGCTGACGACACAGTTGTTTATTGTCGAGCTAAAACTGTTGCTAAGGCTTTCCAGCTTTTGAAATCTGCATTCAACATCATCCAGACGGATTTGTTTCACCTCAAACTTGTCCTAAATGCAGACAAAACCAAAGGGACGCTTTTTTCAAATGGGAAGTTGGTCCCAGCAGTTCTTCCTCCGATTTTATCCTCAAATGGTGTCCCCATTGAGTTTGTTGATTCCTATAAATATTTGGGTATCTTGGTCGACTCACATCTCTCTTTTAAGCTCCATGTGGAAAACTTGGTAAAGAAACTGAAAGTTAAACTGGGTTTCTTTTTCAGAAACAAATCCTGTCTAACTCTGAATGCTAGAAAACGCCTTGTATCTGTGACTTTCCTTCCCTCAATTGATTATGGTGATATTATTTACATGAACGCTCCTACAAGAACCCTGCAGATGTTGGATGCTGTCTATCATGGTGCACTAAGATTCATAACTGGCTGTGATTATCGTACCCACCACTGCACCCAGTATTCACTGGTTAACTGGTCATCATTAACTTCACGCAGACTCTCTCACTGGTATATTTTCATCTTTAAATCACTTCTTGGTCTGCTGCCTTCATACATCTCCTCCTACTTGTCTCTGCATGAGTGCAGCTACGGAGTGCGCTCTCAGGACATTATTACCTGCAGTGTTCCCTCAATGAGGACTGAACTAGGCAAAAGGGCCTTCTCCTATTCCGCTCCGGTTTCCTGGAATATCTTACAAAAAGATTTGAAGCTCTCGACCTTGACCTCTCTAAGTGTCTTTAAGAATCTGTTGGACTCCTGGCAGGGTTCAATGCTGACATGTTCCTGTTGTTAGTTTTCTACATTTGTCTTGGAATCTAGCTGTTTTTTGTTTTGTTACCTTTTCCTTTTAGCCATCCTATTTGTTAAAAAAAAAAACAAAAAAAAAAACTGTTGTATGCTTTTTTATAACTGTTTATTGTTGTTGCTGTTGTCCATTGTTGTCATCTTTCTTTGTTGAAATCAGGTCTCTCTTGTAAATGAGTCCTCGAGGCTCAATGGGATTTACCTGTATAAATAAAGGTTGATTGATTACTCATTTTGTATTTATACCCATCTGCTCACTGCAGACTCATGTTTGGGCTGCTGTTTAATATACCATATTTTACATTATTACTGTTTAGAATATATTAGATCGTTTAGCGTATAACTTTGTGTATATCTAGTCCGAGTCAGAGAATCAGTTGTCACTCACCACATGTGGTACATGTGGTGGAACGAGATTGTGTACTCAGGGTCCCAGTCCCATCCAACAATAAAATGTAAAATAAAAACAGTAATAACATCTAAGATATGAACTAAGAAAAACTTCAACTAAAAATACACTAAGCACTAATAGCATAAAAACAAACTTTACGTTGAACAGCAGCACGAACATGAGTCTGTGAGCAGATGAGCACGCATGAACACAACGACATGAAACAGATCAGCAGCAACATGAAACAGATCAGCAGCAACATGATTTTTTTTTCACAGTGATTATTCTGGTTAGAGATTCATGAGTCTTAACAGCCTCAGGGTAGAAGCTGTTCCTCAGTCTAGTGGTTCCACACATAATGCTCCTCAACCTCCTTCCTGAGGGGAGCGGGACAAAAAGTGTGTGTGCTGGGTGAGTGGGGTCCTTCATGATGCAGGTATATAATGTCGTCGACATTTCACTGTTAACTGCTCCAAAGCCTTGGATCATGAGCTTTTTAACATGGTACAGTTTATTCACCAACTTTTACCCATGTAAATGTATACTCCACCTCCCCTTGATTTCCCCGTTAGCTCACTGCAGCGATCCGCTGGAAAATAGTCTGTCGTCTAGCTGGAAGGCTGAGTTTGGCATGTTGCTGTTAATCCATGATTCCGTGAGACAAAGCACTGCACATTTCCTCATCTCCTCTGAGGCACTCACTCTAAGACGAAGCAAATCCATCTTGTGGTCCAACGAGCGGACGTTCGACAGAAAGAGAGAGGGTATCGGGAGTCTGCTAGTTTTTTTTTTTTGTTCCACCTCATGTACCACATATGATGTGAATAACAAAGAACCTTGGCGTTAAAATATTGAAGTCAGGATGAGTTTCATCACAAGCAGAACATTTTAAATATTAATAACAATAAGTATTGTATAAGATTTGATATTTGGTTGTAAAGCTGCTGCTCTAAGACCTTCGTGCTGTTTTGTGTGTAGAAGCTGCCTGAGGCAGAGCATCAAACAGTGCATCTTAAACAAAACACAGCATGAAGAACGAATCAGACCGTGTGAGCTGAAGTGGAGACGGGCTCTGTGTTTAGAAATGTAAAAGAAACTGAACCCTTTAAGGATTTTTACACAAGTTTTTGGTTCATTGAGCTTGAAGCAATGAAGGGTTTTAGTTTGTTATTTGACACTTGTGGTCCTGCTGTGTTTCAGGTGGACACTGAGACTCAGGAGCTCGTCGACGGCTCACTCATTGACCTCTGTGGGGCCACTCTGCTGTGGCGCACCGCTGAGGGCCTGGCGCGCACCCCCACTCTCAAACACCTGGAGGCGCTGCGGCAGGAGATCAACGCGGCTCGGCCGCAGTGCCCCGTGGGCTTCAACACGCTGGCCTTCCCCTCCATGCGCCGCAAGGACACGCCGGATGAGAAGCAGCCGTGGGTCTATCTGCAGTGTGGCCATGTTCACGGCTACCATAACTGGGGCAACCACCGTGAGGAGCGGGAGGGGCGGGAGGGCCGGCTCAGGGAGTGCCCCATGTGTCGAGCGAAGGGCCCCTATGTGCCCCTGTGGCTGGGCAGCGAGGCGGGCTTCTATGTCGACGCAGCTCCGCCCACTCACGCCTTCAGCCCCTGTGGACACGTCTGCTCCGAGAAGACGGCGGCCTTCTGGAGTCAAATCCCGCTCCCGCATGGCACGCACACTTTCCACGCTGCCTGCCCCTTCTGTGCCCAGCAGCTGACCGGCGAGCAGGGCTTCATCAGACTCATCTTCCAGGGACCGCTCGACTAGTGGAGCAAATTTCCCAGCATGCTTTGGAGGAGAATTTCTTTTAACGCTGACCCTGCAGCTAAAACACAGAGCTGTCCAGATGTTTTGGTTTCCTGGACTTTTTGCCTCTTTCTCATTTTTAAGTGACCTTTGTATCACTTTTTTCACGAATGATGACAAAGATTTCTATATTTTCATGTGAAACCAGAAACACAAAAAATTTGTTTCATGAAGAGAACTTTCCACAATATTTATCTAAATTACTAACATCCCATAGTGCAGTAATATGCTTTTTATTTGTGTATTTGTTGCAATACACACGTGTACATCTCTTGGAGCTTATTTAAAGAATCGGGATTTATTTATGACACAGAGCGTCGCCTCATCCTTTATCTGTCAAATATTTCTAACTTTATGTTTGAGTAATATACTGATTTATTTCAAATGAAAACACAAAGTTTTAGGGTGTCTGGATGGTTTTGTTCCGTGTTCACCCCCTCCCCCATGTTCACCTCTCAAAGCCATTAGTTTACTTTAAACAGACGTCTGTCTGCTGGCTCGCTCCCTCAAAGTGTCGTAAACGTGCACATTTTACATTCAGAGCAATAGGTCTGCAGCAGAAACCTGGAGCATCAAGGGAGCCCATTGGCCGCTCCCTTCCTTTAACGAGTGATTTGCGCCTGATGACGTCAGCCGTAACAACACAGCTGTGCAGCTACTGAAACACAAACACACTCGCTCTAATCAGGCACTGCTCTGAACAGGATTGTTTTCAGCACTGAGGGAGGTTATTGCACCTTTGCCAATATTTGTAAGTGTTTCCAGCATCTTTTGTGCAGCTGAGGATGACAGGTTTTCTGTTGAAACGCACAGTCTCTAGTCATACAGCCACTCATCCAACGAGCAGAGTGTAAGCTAAAGTATTTCCTCTTCCCTTTACTTTCAGGTACAGAGCAGAGCTTTGGGATGATTTGTGCTTTTCAGTCTGTCTTTTATAAGATGTAAGGTCTTTGGAAATGAGTACAAAATATCAGGGCTGCTTGGTCTTTTCATTGTCTTTTAAAAGAGACAAAATTATTGCTTTGATTTTTCATAACACAGCTGCGAGGGTTCAACACATCAAAAAAGGCCTTTTCACACTTCTTTGTGCTTTTCAGTGCGGGCTGGAGGTTTTTTTTATGCACTGCAAACCAGTTTATCTATGCATCAACCCTCTTCAGGCTACCTCTCAACTCACATTTCTCTTTTCAATACAAATTAACTCTTTAAGATCCAAATTGCTTTTATATAGCACAGTGTGCTAGCAGCAAGCAGGTGAGCATCTAAATTCAGTTCAGTTTTTAATAAATACGAATAAGTGCTGTGTGTTGTCAGTGTATGTTCCTGTACAATTAGTCTGCATTTAACCCATCGCACCTGGGATACACCCAGGTGGCGCAGTGGGCTGCTATGTAAGAGCCTGAGGAGCAATTAGGGATTGGGTGTCTTGCTCAGAGACACCACGACATGTGGGCATGGCTGGGAGTTGAACCTGGGACTTTTGGGTCCCGAGTCGGCTGCCCTGCCTCTTAGCAGCACAAACTGTGAAAAGCCGGTCCAGATATTTTGCATTTTAAATGAAAGCACAAATTCTCTCATACCTCCAACTGCAAACACACACACACCCACACACAGTGTTTTATCTTAGCGAGACACTCACTGAAACTGTAGAAAGAGGTGAAGCATCTCTTCCAAACTGCTCCCACAGATCTTTACAGGTCTGAACACTTGCAGATTTAATTTGTGTTTGTTAATTTAAAAAGAGATTGTAATTTGTGTTGATTGAATATGTTTGGTTTCTGTCCACACGAGTATCTCCTCCGTATCCTCAGACTGCGACACACCTCAGGGAGAAATCAATGACCCACAGGCCCACCTGAGGATACGTGGCAGATCAAGCCGCTCGTGTTCAGCTCCCTTTCACCCAGTTTGGTTTTTGTTTCATGAACTCTTGAGTGTAATTAAAGGGCTTCCCTGTGTCTCTGTACTGTTATCTCTGCCCTTTTTCTACACAAACACCTGTCAGTTTGCCCTCGACTCACTCTTCTCCTTCTGTCTTTGTGTTTGTAAAAGGCAAAAAATCAAAGAATGTTTCCAGCAAGCACTTTTTTGTAATCTCTTTAAACAATAAAGTGTAAAAGTGACACCGTTTGGTTGTGTTGAGCTTTGTTTTCACGCTGAAGCGCTACAAAATCCACTACTGGGGCGGCTGTGGAGGTGTGGTTAGAGCAGTCGTCCTCCAATGCAAGAGTTGGGGGTTCGATTCCACCAGCAGTCACATGCCCAAGTGTCCCTGGGCACTGAACCCCTCATTGCCTCCTATGTGTGTCCCATCAGTGTATGAATGGGTAAATGAGGCACAGATTGTAAAGAGCTTTGAGTGTCTTGATGAGTACAATCCATTTACAGTATTGTTACATGAAAGTTATTAAAGCTGTGGTTTCATCATTTACTGCCACTGGACACACGATAAGTTCATACTATGACTGCAGCTGATATCTGGAGACATCTACCTAAAAGTATTAGTTTGCTTTAAAATTAAAGTTCTTTGCTGTGTTTTAGACAAGTTTAGGGTTTTAAATATACTAAATAAAAAATTGTGGATATATTTTAAAATGACCATTTAAAAATAATTTCTTTGTCCTCAAATACCCAGAAATTTCAAATGACCTAGACATGCTAGGCCTTTTCTGTACAGACAGAGGTAAAATTTGTTGTGGTAGTTGTCATCGCCATCACGTCCTCTGAGCACTTACAGACTATCCAAGATTTGTTTTAAAGTTTGGTGAGCAGGTGAGTAAATGTCCGTTTTTTACCCTTTGAGTTTGTTTTTATTTATTCTGAACCTGTTCCTTTGGTTTGTGAATTTATTTTATCATCTAATATCAGTATGCATTGATGACTCTCAGCTACTACCACACTAAATTTTTATCTCAGCATCTGTAAAACTTGAGTTTCAGTCCAAGTTTGCTAAGGCTGATTAGCTGTTGTGGCCATCTTGAATCAAGTTAGCCCAAAAGCTAATCAGTTGAAAATGTTTTCCAATGATTTCAGCGTTTCATAAAGTCTGTTCATGAGATCTTTTGCTAACAGGTGTACAATTAGATGATCACATGCTTTCCATTGCCATGTGCAGAGATACTCTAAAGATTGATAAAAAATAAATAAAAAAACAGCAAGTTTGCACAATGAATGTCAGTGAAGGAAAAATGTAATTTTGCTCCAAGCGATGTAGTTGTGAGCAGGCCTGCTGACATTAGCTTTGTGCTAAAGTCTGATAAAACAACTCAAACAAACTTTGGCTTGGGTTGACTTTTATTTAGAAATAAATATTTACGTTCTTTTTATTTCCTAAACAGTGAAAACTATCCACATAATAACAAGTGCTTCACTAAAGAAATGTTTTGTATTCTTGTTAACGTACATTAATTAATCGTCTAATTTTATTATTTTTTTGTATCCTTAAATATTTATTCACAAGCTTAAAATCTTAACTCAATTTTTTTATGTCACATATCTAAAATCCTGTGAAGAATAAAGATGAACAGACATGTTCAGTTCTTCATATTGCACTTTATTAAGTTGTGAGGAGGCAGAACTGGGCCGAGACCTCGTTACGGCACAGATCAACACTTATTGTTGTAAATCAAACCCATCTCAAGTAAATCCCGTGCTCAAATGTAGCATTCATGGTTTGGAAATGATGGGGAAACAAGAAAATACTGCACATCCTGACATTCAGCATAAACAGAAGGAAACAGTTTAGAACAACACAAAGACGTGACGCACTGCAATAAAATATGGCATAATGCACAGTGTTGTAATATTTATATAATCTCTGTTACAAATGGAAAAATAAAGGCCTTCAGGTACAGATTTGCTTTAACACACTGGCTTATGGTTTCAACATGAAAACAGACTCAAAATAAATAAATTGTTCGAGCATCAGCTTCCTCTTCATTTAAAGCGGTTTCATTTGGACTCCAACACGGAGGTACAGAAAACTTTCTCACAGCCTGATGCTCCGGAGACAAGTTATCAAATCATCTGTCAGCTCTGACCTCAGGTCAGGTTGCACAGACACCATCACCTGATGATACATTCATGTTTTCACATTTCAAAGAAACCAAACGAGGACTTTTATGTAGTAAATGTAATGAAAAACAATAGAAAATTATTAACCAATGTGCTCATCAAGCTAGCCGGCTTTATAGTTTATTTCAGTATGTTTTGGTTCAGTTTTCCACACTTCTGTCAGCTAAATATTTCCAAAGCACGTGTACACATGCCTTGTAATTTATGCTTTTGAACGTTTTCGGCAAGATTAATCACCTCTAGACCATCTTTTATACTTTTACTTCTATGTTTTACCTAAAATAATGAGACAGGAAATTTAGCCTTCTTGGAAGATTCTGTGTTCCCGTGTAGGAGATGCACATTAATTAATTAATTAATTGTCTATAGTGACGTTCCAGAGGTACTGGACCAATTTTGGGGGAATATTTCACTTGTGTTTTCAACGTGGGGCTCAGATGAAAGCTTTGGTCTTTTTTTCAGATGTTCTTGTGTCTGCACTCGTCATGTAATCTGACAGAGGTGGAATACATGACCCGCTTTTGGTGCTTAACGTGTTGCATCTTTGTAAGAACTGGTTACAACGTCTTCAGAACTTTTAGACCTTGACCTCTGAGTGAGTTTGCTGCGTTAGCAGAGCTGACCACGACAATGACACAATCATTTTATTATATACTATGGTGCAGTCTTAATGACATACTGTAACTATTAAATATACTTCAGCAGGTTTAATTTCTACTCAACTAAGGCCAGAATCAGAAAGAAAAATACATATTATTAGTTGTCTTTAGTTATTTTTCTGTTGCTATTAATTTAACCTTTGACACTGTATAATAAGACACCAGCAGGGGGCAGTACAGTCCAGCTGCTCTCTGAAATGCACAAGTAATCTGACTGCCTTCAGGCAAGAAGTCACCTTCTCTCACAATCTGTTGATGCTGGACGAACGGGACAGATGGTCACAGACAGGACAGGTCACACGATGAGGGAGATTAACGAGGAAAAGCATTAGTGGTCCAGGATACGAAGGTTGCCAGATACGATTTTATTTTCCAGCATGGAACCGGCTGGTATATCGATCCGATCTCCATGGTTGGCGATGATGATGACAGTCCCCTGGCAAGAAGATGAGCAATGAGTTTGTGTTTTGTTTCAGGAACAGAAATGACAGCAGACAAAAGTTTAAAAAACACAATGCAGTTATTTTCAGATGGTGCATGTTTGAGAAAGCCACATAACTTCTGTTCATCTCTGAACTACAAAAAAGTCTGACACCATGAAGTCAACAACCACATCAGACCTCAGTGGCCAACAGAATAAATTATGCAGCAACACATTTGAACACGTCCAACAATACCAGCAACTGGTGGATTTAATATTTTCAAACACCATTTTACTTCTAAATTATTATTTATTCCATTGATTTTAAGAGTAACATTTTACCTTGAGCAACACATTTTTCCCAAATGTGACATCTCCAGAAACCGTGAGGTGGTCGAGCTCCAGCATGTCCGGGATGCTTTCAAAACGTGTCACGTACTCCTGAACCTGAAGACAGACCAGAGCCAGGGATGATATCTGGGACTGTTCTTGTAATCCTGCACTATATTTTTATATTATATTATAATATTATATACATTAGATTGTTTAACATAACAGTCTAGGATGTTGGGATTATTTTGCAAATGGAGATGTTAACTGTAAATAAACAAATGAGAGTTTGGCACTTATCAAACAGCGGGCGACAGCAGAAGTTTTGACATCTGCTGTTAATTCAATTCAATTCAAAAATACTTTATTAATCCCAGAGGGAAATTAAATGTTGTTGTAACTCATCATCCTGGTTTAATTAAAGAGTCGTTATAGATGCTGATGTCTGTGGGGAGGAGGGATCTCTTGTAGTGGTTTGTCCTACAATGGATTTGAAGAAGCCTCTGACTGAAGACATTTTGTTGTTGTATGACAGTCTGATGAAGAGGATGCTGAGGGTTGTCTATAATGTTCTTCATTTTATGAAGAATCCTTCTTTGAACAATCATCTCCAAAGGTTCTAGAGGAGTCCCCAGAACTGAGCCAGCCTTCTTTATGAGCTTGTTGATCTTTTTTAAGTCACTTGCTCTGGTGCTGCTCCCCAGCAGATGATGGCAGAAGAGATAGCGCTCTCTACAACAGACTTATAGAAGACATGCAGCATCTTGCTGCAAACGTTGAAGGACTTCAGCTTCCTTAAGAAGTACAGTCTGCTCTGTCCCTTCTTGTAGACAGCTTCACTGTTGCATTTCCAGTCCAGTTTGTTGTCCAGGTGAACTCCAAGGTATTTATACTTCTCCACCACCTCCACTTCTTCTCCCATGACGAAAATAGGGTTGGATCTGTTCCTGATTCTCCTGAAATCTACAATCATCTTCTTTGTTTTGTTCACATTCAAGATGAGATGATTGTTTCCACACCATGCCACAAAGCGGTCCACCAGTTCCCTGTACTCAGCTTCTTGTCCATCTCTGATACACCCGACTACTGCAGAGTCATCAGAATATTTCTGCAGATGACAGGAGTCTGTTTTGCACTGGAAATCTGAGGTGTACAGAGTGAAAAGGAATGGTGAGAGTACAGTCCCCTGTGGTGCTCCTGAGCTACTGACAACCTGGTTAGACACACAACCCTTCAGTCTCACTAACTGTGGTCTGTTTGTCAGGTAGTCTTTGATCCAGGCAATTGTTGAGGCCTCCACCTGAGTCTTCTGAAGTTTCTGACAAAGCAAATAAGGCTGGATTGTGTTAAATGCACTGGAGAAATCAAAGAACATGACTCTCACAGTGCTGTCTGCCTTTTCTAGATGACAGTGAGTTTGCTGAAGCAGGTGTATGATGGCATCTTCAACTCCAAGTCCACGCTGATAAGCAAACAGCAGTGGGTCCTGATATGTGCTTGTTTGTCTAGTCAGGTGGGTCAGCAGAAGTCTCTCTAGGACCTTCATGATGTGGGATGTCAGGGCAACAGGTCTATAGTCATTGAGGACTGATGGGTGCGTTTTCTTTGGCACTGGAACAAGGCAGGAGGTTTTCCACAACACTGGAACCTTCTCCTGGGTCAGGCTAAGGTTGAAGAGGTGCTGCAGAACCCCACAGCGCTGCTCTGCACAGACCTTCAGGACTCTGGGACTGACACCATCTGGACCTGCAGCCTTATTCCAGTTCAGTCTCTCCAGCTGCTTCCTCACCTGACTTCTGGAGACGCAGAGGGGGTAGGCAAAGGAGGTATCAGCATCTTCTGATTTAGTTGAAGACCAATATCTAGAAGAAAGGCCCATGACTGAGGTGGTAGATACAATATTTGAGGTGTGACAGGACAGCCTTGGGTCAATGGAGGGGGGTATGTATGTTTGGCTGTGGGCAAGAGAGGAGGATGCTGAGCTTGTTCCTGAACTGAACCTATTGAAGAATGTGTTCAGTTCATCGGCTCTGTCCAGGCTTCCATCCTTCTGATCCTCCTTCTGCTTGAAGCCTGTGATCTGTTTCATCCCTGACCACACCTCTCTGATATTGTTCGGTTGGAGCTTGCTCTCCAGCTTCTTCTTGTACACCTCCTTGCTGTTTCTTATCTTGACTTTTAGTTGGTTCTGTGTGCTCCTCGATAATTCCCTGTCTCTCTCCCTGAAGGCTCTTTTTTTCTGGTTTAGCAGTTCCGTCAGTGGTGATCCAGGGTTTGTTATTGGGGAAGCATCTCACTGTTCTGGTGGGGATGGTGTTGTTTACACAGAAGTTTATATAGTCGGTCACACACTCAATCATGGCATTGATGTCCTCTCCATGTGGCTGGCACAGTGCATCCCAGTCTGTAGCCTCAAATCAACCCAGCAGGGCTTCTTCAGCTTCCATTGACCATTTTCTCACTGTTCTCTTTATTGCAGGTTGCCTCTGAACAAGGGGTTTATATTTTGAGCAGAGATACACAAGATTGTGATCTGATTTGCCAAGAGGGGGTCTTGCTTTAGCGATGTATGAATCCTTGACATTTGCATAAAACAAGTCCAGCGTTTTGTTTTCTCTGGTAGAGCAGCTGACAAACTGTTCGAATGTCGGAAGTGTAACAGAGAGAGAGGCATGATTAAAATCCCCGGATATTGCAACAAACGCACTAGGGTGTTGTGTCTGTAGTTTAGCAATCTTGGAGCTGATGACATCACATGCAGTCTCGGCAACAGCATTGGGTTGAATGTAAACGGTTGCCAAAATAACACTGGTGAACTCTCTTGGCAAATAATATGGACGACAACTTAGGGCTAACAGTTCAATATCTGGACTGCAGAGACGACACTTCACAGTAACATGTCCAGGATTACACCATCTGTTGTTCACAAGCACTGCCAACCCACCTCCTTTCCTTTTGCCACTCCTCTTTAAATCTCTATCTGCTTGTATGGTCAGAAAGCCTGGCAAGGAAACGCTGGAGTCGGGGATATGATCCTGCAACCATGTCTCAGTGAAACACATAACACTGCATTCCCGATACTCTGGATGGGTCCTTGTTAGGGCTTGAAGTTCATCCAACTTGTTTCCCAGCGATCTCACATTGCCCATCATGATCGATGGAAGAGATGGTTTAAACCGCATTCTTCTCCCTTTCTCCCTCTTCTTTGCTCCTGCTCTGCATCCACGACGCCTCCTTTTCAACTCATTTGGAATTTGAGGCTGTAGTTGAGATATTATTTGAGATTTGGAGATGTTAATCAGCTGCTCCCGGTTGTAAAAAACCTTGTTGTTATGGTTACGCATCATAACAAATGTCCAAAAGCAAAGATATTCCTGTAAAAATCCTTCCAGCTGCACAGCATCCGACACCAGAGGAAATAATCATCCAAACAAAGCAATTTATATCCAGAAAAAAAGAGGAATTAAAGTTATCAAAAAATAATATCTCAGAATGAAAGTAACAGAGCTACTCCAACATGCAGCCACCTTGAACGGAGCAATTCTAGAATTTTCCATGGTTACCTTAGTGAAAGAGCTGCCCAGTTTGACATGGGGCGTCGTCGGAAACTCTCTCTTGGGGCTCATGGTGAGAGAACCCGCCTCCAGGCTGTACAGGTTGGACATGACCAGCAGCAGGTCCGATGTGGTTTTCACCGGCAGGAAGCGGCTGCGAGGGACATTTATTCCCAAAGCGTTGTCGAAGCATTTGATCGCTGCGCCGACCGCCGTCTCAAGCTGGATGACATTCAGCCCTCCGTCAAGTGTCTGAAGGTGAAGGATGAGAAAAATATAGCTCTAATTGAAAATGTTTTCTCTTTCTCCTTACAAAAATCTATAGAGAACTACTTAATTGTAATACTAAAGTATTGTATAAGTGGCATGAACAGCCGAGTGTCATCAGCAAAGAACAGTAATGTACGCTGGTGAAGAACCAGCATGTAATGGAGAAAGAATGGGGTTAAGAACTCACTCCTGAGGTGCACAGCAACTCTACTTAAAAATGTAGGATGAAACTTTGAAGATGAAGGTTCTGTTTCAGTTGTATGACTATAAGAAACTTAGACCCAAGTCCTACATTTAAAATCTGTAGAGATTAACACTTTACTGGTTTATGCAGTAAAAATAACTAAATAATCTAGGACGCATCCGAATACCTGCCAAACAGCAAACTTCAGGGGTTGTGTCTTATGATGCCAAAAATAATTTCAACTGCACCTTTGCAATAGTTTGAAACAGGAGCTTCTTTGTTTAAACCATCTGGACACAGAAAAATCTTCACTCTGGTTTTCGTGGACCGTGTCAAACACACAGAACCGGTTTTTATTGTCGGTAGAGGGACGTCTTCAAGAATGTCAGCAGTGAAGTAAAAAAACAATGCTGTTGCACAACACTACTGTAATCCTACCCACTGGTTCGTTGCATCTTTCTGTATTTTTCACTCAGGACAATAAACACTAAGAATATGTTTACAGATAGGGAGTATTTCCTTCTTATTTTACCTTCTTATTTTAAGATGGCGCCTGTGTACATGGCTTGCAATCCACCTCTGCTGATGGTGTTCGTATTTTTGGTGTTTTTTTCATTTCTCATCTGTGACATCAACGCTCTGCTGGTGTATGACCGAAAACAACTTTTGGATCTTCGACCTTGTGGCACCAATGTCGCTTATTTTGATCATTATGAGCGTAACTCTGGACCCCCCCCCTGTCCCCCCGCTGCTGGCGGACGTGCCTGCTTACCTGCAGCGGGGCGCGCACCTGCCTCCCCGGAGACGTCGCTCCAGACGCCGTGGAAAACGCGCTGGCCGGCTGGTGAAACTGAAAGCCCAGCTGGCTGCCTCTGAAACATCCTCTCCAGCTGATGGTGAGCGTTTCCACCTCCGCTCCTGGCGCTGTACAGATCCTGTGGTGCGCTGTCTGGTCCCGCTGTCGGGGTCCCATCATCACACTGGGCCCGTGCGCGGCTGGGTTTCCTGCCGGAGGCGCGCGTCTAACTCTGCAAATCTGAGGCCGCTAGACTGGACACTGCAATCATCTCCTCCTGTGGTGGATTCTATGAGGATGGCCCTGATAAATGCCAGATCACTGGGTAATAAAACTTTTATTTTGAACGACTTTTTCTGCTGCAACCAACTGGACTTTCTTTTCATCACTGAGACTTGGATCTGCCCTGGTGAGTTCAGTGTTTTTCTGGAATTACTGCCTCTGGATTGTTCTTTTTTCAATGCTCCAAGGACAACTGGTCGTGGTGGAGGATTATTGGCTGTTTTTAAAAAACATTTGCACTGCAGACAGCTCCATGGTTCAGTTAATTATTCAAGTTTTGAACTGCTCTGTTGTGAGCTGGGCCGCTCCAACCCAGTTCTGTGTGCTATTTTTTACAGACCCCCCGGATACCATAAACAGTTTTTAAATGAACTATCTGACTTTCTAACTGGTATTCTGCTCCAATATGATCGGGTTGTGATTTTAGGTGACTTTAATATCCACGTGTGCTGCCCAGATAAACCATTAGCTCAGGACTTTCTAGACCTCATCCAGTCCTTGAACTTTGTTCAGAGTGTTGTTGGTCCGACTCACCAGCATGGCCACACTCTAGACTTAGTCTTAACACATGGTTTGTCTGTTTCTGATTTAGAAATTGGTGACAGTTTGTTCTGACCACAAACCGGTTTTATTCAACACCTCATTGATTTGTGAACCTGCACCTCCCCCCACACCCAAGCCCTGTAGGATTTTTAACCCTTCCACCGCCAAACTCTTCTCTTCCATCTTTGCTGGTAATTCTGTTTCAGACTCTGAACTCTCTGCGGGTCTTACTACAAAGGAGTTGCTTTCTCAGCATCAGGAGGCGTGTGTACAGATCCTGGACTCAGTCGCCCCGTTAAAGCTCAGGAATCGAAAACGCATGCCCCACCCTTGGGTAAATGAGACCACAAGAGAGGCAAGACGCTTGTGCAGAAGAGCTGAACGTCGATGGAAAAAAGATAAACTTCAGGTGTCTTTTGAGATGTTAAAAACATGTTGGAAAGCCTATCAGACCACCGTTAAACAGGAGAAAAACAAATATTTCTCAAACATTATCAACTTAAACAGTCACAACCCCCGCGTTCTTTTCAGCACCATTAACACCATTCTAAACGTGCCTCAGTCTGCCACCATTGAGGCCTCTGTCGACACCTGTAATAAGTTTGTCAGGCATTTTGCTGAAAAGGTGGAGTCGATCAGGTCATCAATTCCACACTCCACAGCCGACCCTTCAGTTCTTGTCCCCTGCTCAGCAGTCTTCAGTCACTTTGACCCCATCTCACTCTCATTTTTAAATGAGGTCGTTGATCACATGAAGCCCTCAGGCTCCCCTGCTGATCCCATCCCTGCTGCATTTTTTAAACAGGTTCTACCGTCAACTGGACCCTCTGTTCTTGCCATTATTAACAGCAGTTTGGCTACAGGTGTGGTCCCCGATGTTTTAAAACATGCAGTGGTAACTCCATTAATTAAAAAACCCGGACTCGACCCTGCAGCTTGTTCTAACTTCAGGCCAATCTCAAAACTTCCATTTATTTCTAAAATCTTGGAGAAAATAGTTTTTAGTCAACTAACCAAGTTTTTGAATGTAAATGGAATTTTTGAGATTTTTCAGTCAGGATTTAAACAACTGCACAGCACAGAGACGGCTTTAGTAAGGGTCTGTAATGACATTCTGCTAGCGAATGACTCTGGTCAGTCTGTGATCCTGGTACTCCTCGACCTTACCGCTGCATTTGACACTGTTGATCACAGCATCCTTATGTCACGGCTAGAACACTGGGTTGGGATTACAGGGGTGGCGCTAGAATGGTTCCGTTCTTATCTGGGTGACAGGAGTTTTTGTGTTAACTTTGGCAATCATTTATCTGCTTCTGTCCCTCTTTCCTGTGGGGTCCCACAAGGCTCCATTCTTGGACCCCTTCTGTTCTCATTGTATCTGCTCCCCTTGGGGTCAATCCTGAGGAAACATGGTATTTCGTTTCACTGTTACGCCGATGACTCTCAGATCTATCTACCTTTAAAACCAAACAGTTCTTGCTCCATCCTCCCTTTGCTAAAATGTCTTGATGATATCAAGACTTGGATGGCTGCAAACTTCTTGAGCTTTAATGATCAGAAGACTGAGGTCATTGTGTTTAACCCAAGCTCTGCCACTGTCACTGATCCTGTAAACCTGCACTCCCTTCAGCCTCATCTAAAGCAGTCAGTTACCAATCTCGGGGTAGTGTTAGACTCGGACTTTAAGTTTAATAAACAGATCAACTCTGTTCTACAAAAGAGCTTCTTTCAGCTAAGGCAGATAGCAAAGCTAAAGTCCGTTCTGTCCAGATTCGACCTTGAAAAACTAGTCCATGCATTTATTACAACCCGGCTGGACTACTGTAACTCACTTTATGTTGGGGTTAGTCAGGCTTCACTCTCACGTCTCCAGCTCGTACAAAATGCTGCAGCTCGGCTTTAAACAGGAACTCACAGGTTTGAGCACATTACTCCGGTTCTATCCTCTCTTCACTGGCTTCCTGTACGTGTCAGAGTTGATTTTAAAATTCTCCTGCTGACATTCAAGTGCATTAACGGCCTTGCACCATCATACCTCTCCGACCTTCTTCTTCCTTATACTCCTTCTCGGGCTTTGAGATCATCAGACCAGCTGCTTTTGGCCGTACCAAAAACCAGGCTGAAGCTCAGAGGAGATCGAGCGTTCTCAGTCGTGGGCCCTAAACTCTGGAACAATCTGCCCATCAACATTCGACAGGCCACCTCAGTCTCTGCCTTTAAATCTCTCCTAAAAACACACCTATACTCATTGACATTTAACACAGGGTGATCAGCTTTAGATCTGGTTTTTCATTGATGCTGATTCTGTTTATGCTTTTGTTATTATTCCTATTTAACACAAGGTCATCTGATCTGATTTAGTATTTCATTGTTTCAGACTGAGTTTATGCTTTTTGTTATTATTTCCTTGACTTTTGACACAACGTGATCTGATTTAGCATTTCATTGTTTCTAATTGTTTTTGGTTTTATATTTTTATTCCATGTGCTGTAAATATATCTTGCTACTTTTTATCTGATGATGTGATATTTTTGTTAAGCACTTTGGTAACAGTTTCTGTTTTTAAATGTGCTCTATAAATAAATCTGACTTGACTTGACTTGACTTACCCTCAACTATAATCCTTAAAAATAAATTATTTAAAGGACCCATTTACATATTTAATGTCCAGAGGACCAGATTGAACTTTTTTGGATTTTTCTACCTGGATTATTGAGCATGCATCAGGATATTTAAAGGACCCTCACCTGCTTCTATCAGGCTGCAGTTTCTACAAGCCACACAGATGAATCTGATGAACTCGAATGAGACACTACAAGGTTTCTTGATGGAAGAACACGATGAGAGACTCAGGTCCACACCTGTTGGAGGCAGTTATGTAATGTCCGCCCCTCTGAGGCGTTTTCTGCTCTACAAGTGGACACGGTCTTACATTTGAAACTAGAACAGGAACGGAGCCCTCTGACTTATGGAAAATCATGCACACTTATTCCCACTTCCATAACACACACAATAATGAGGACTCCATGTAGTTGTTCTGTGTGAACGCAGCTGTGCAAAGTGACAACAGCCTGGTGGCAGATTGTCTCAGCCTCATGAGAGGTCTGTGCCTCTGGGTTAGCACCAACAATATACCATAAACCTGCATCGAGTGGTTTGTTTGAGGTTTTCAAACAAAAAGAGAACGCTGCGATTTGTTCAAGAATAACTGAACTGAATTGTTGAAACCAGTTAACAGTGGCAGGCGGAGCTGAAACTGAAACTGAGCTGAACAAGTAGCCAAACTATTGCCAAAAGATCAAATTAGCAAGACACTAGCTAAAAGACAAACAGAGCAAGTATGCTAAAGAATGTTTTTGAAGAAACTGAAGAGATCTGAATCATTTTCAAATTGGAAAATCTGCTGAAGTAGTTTGCAAAAAAAATTATAAAATAAAGTATGGAGGAAAGTACAACCAAGAAAACAAGAGTGTGAAAACAGCTGACAGACTAAACGAGCCTCAACTTTATGTGACAACAGTTAAATTGATGAAGCAGTCACAACAACTCATGTCACGTTACACTGAACTCAAGGTTTTCACTGTTTTTTCTTTTTAGCAGGTTAAAATTTTATGTACTCAAGTATATTTTAATCAGGCTTCATTTTCCAGAAATACAGAATATTTTCTCAGTGAATCGATAATGTAAAATAAATAGATTTATCTAAATATACATCAAGTGCATGGTTATAAAATATATTTTGTTACACTTTATAAAATAATATTTCTTGTAAAATATAACAGAAATTTCAATCAAATATATTTATTAAATTAAACTTCATATAAACATTTGTAAAATGCACTTTGAATGCATTTGTAAAATTTTGTTTTCAAACCACACTTTAAAAATATATTACAAATATATGTATCCAATACTTTTCAGCAGTTAAAGTTTTTTTTTTAATAAATGTATGTATTTGAAAATGTTAAAGTTACTAATGTTCCAAATTGTACTTTAGATAACATTTTCAAATACATACTTTTTTTTAAACTTACCTATTTATCATTTTCCGAATAAAAACATCTGAAAAATACTGAAAAAAATCATCTTACAACTTCAATGCAAACTTCACTTGATAAAATTGCTCCACTGAAAAAGAAAGTAATCAATCAGAGGAATCTGGCTTCTTGGTTCAATTCTGAGTTACGTACTTTAAAGCAGGCATCTAGAAACCAGGAGAGAAAATGGCGCTCTACTAATGTTGAAGAATTTTATTTAACTTGGAAAGATAGTCTGCTAACATATAAAAAGCTCTATGCAACGCTAGAACTTTATATTATTCATCTTTAATAGAGGAGAATAAAAATAACCCTAGGTTTCTGTTTAGTACTATTGCTAGACTAATTAAAAGTCCCATTTCTGTTGACCCATGTATCCCTACAACTATAAGTAGTGATGACTTCATGAGATTATTTATAAATAAAATTATTTCAATTAGAGAGCAAATTCAAACCATCCTTCCTTCTACCATCTTTAGTCCCCTGTCAAATGAGACGACTTTGAAAATTTCACTAGAGCCTGATTTATGTTTGGACAGTTTTTGTCCTGTTGAGCTCTCTGAATTGTCAAAAATAATAACCTCATCCAAACCATCCACATGTCTGCTAGATCCCATCCCAACCAGACTGTTTAGAGGTATTTCCCTTAATTAATGTCCACACTTTGGATCTACTTAATTTGTCTTTAATGAATGGTTATGTACCACAGCGCTTTAAGGTTGCTGTAATTAAACCTTTACTTAAGAAGTCTGATCTTGATTCAGAAATTCTGGCCAATTATTCAATTCAATTCAACTCAGTTTATTTAAATAGCGCCAAATCACAACAAAGTTGTCTCAGGGCACTTTACAGAAACATTCACATACATAAAAGACAATTAGTAAAATTATAGACCTATATCTAATCTAACTTTCATCTAAAAAATTCTTTTTTTTTTTTTTGATTTTTTGACATCTAAAAAATTCTAGAGAAAATAGTTGCAGGTCAGTTGCATGAACATCTACAAAGAAATAATCTGTTTGAAGAGTTTCAGTCAGGGTTTAGAGCTCATCATAGCACAGAAACAGCACTAGTAAAAGTAACTAATGATATTCTCATGGCCTCAGACAATGGACTTGTGTCTATACTGGTCCTGTTAGACCTCAGTGCTGCATTTGATACAGTTGATCACAATATTTTACTACAGAGGCTTGAACATGATGTTGGGACTACAGAAACATCTAAAATGGTTTAAATCATATCTATCTGATAGATTCCAGTTTTTAAATGTAAATAATAAGTTTTCTTCATACACCAAAGTTAGTCATGGCATTCCTCAGAGCGCAGTGCTTGGCCCAATACTCTAATAATTTTACCTAATGGAACCATATGTAAACAGCATGGGATAAATTTTCATTGTTATGCTGATGACACACAATTATATTTGTCCATTAAACCCAATGAATCCAATCAACTACTTAGACTACAAGCATGTCTTAAAGACATAAAAACCTGGATGACCCTTAATTTTCTCCTGTTGAACACAGACAAGACTGAGGTTTTGGTTTTTGGACCTGAGCACCTTAGGAATTAATTTTTCAGTCTTTCTCCCTCCTTAGATGGCATTAATCTGTCCTCCAGCTCTAATGTTAAAAATCTTGGTGTTATTTTTTATCAGGACATGTCTTTTATCCCCCACATTAAAAACGTTACTAGAACTGCCTTCTTCCACCTGTGTAATATCTCTAAAATTAGAAACATCTTATCTAAAAATAATGCGGAAAAATTGGTCCATGCATTTGTCATGTCAAGACTGGATTATTGCAATGGTTTATTATCTGGATGTCCAAATGCTTCTTTAAAATGTCTTCAGTTGATCCAAAATGCTGCTGCCAGAGTCTTAACTGGAGTTAGTAGGAGAGATCATATCTCTCAAGTTTTAGTTTCTCTCCACTGGCTCCCTGTCAAATCCAGAAAAGAATTTAAAATCTTACTTCCAACCTACAAAGCTCTCAACAACCTGGCTCCATCTTATATTACAGATCTTATTGTTCCATGTTTTCCTAACAGAGCACTTCGCTCTCAGGCTGCAGGTTTACTTGTGGTTCCTAGAGTTTCCAAAAACAGAATGGGAGGCAGATCTTTCAGTTATCAGGCTCCTCTCTTGTGGAATCAACTTCCAATCTCTGTCCGTGAGGCTGACAGATTATCCAGTTTTAAAACTAGGCTTAAGACTTTCCTTTTTGCTAAATCCTATAGTTAGGGTCAGCTTGGGTTTCCTGAGCTGTCCCCTAGTTATGCTGCTATAGGCTTAGACTGCTGGAGGACAAACTGACCACAAGCTACGGTCTTTACTTACTCTGCTCAACCTGTTTTGTACTTGTAATTATTTTTTCTATCCTTAAAGTTTTTTTTTTTTTTGTCTTTCAGATACACCTGGATCTATACCTGGACCTACCATTCTATGTTCGTCTGTCTCTCCTTCCTGTCCTCTCAACCAGCCGGACAAAGCAGATGGCCGCTTGTCCTGAGCCTGGTTCTGCTGGAGGTTTCTTCCTTTTAAAAGGGAGTTTTTTCTTTCCACTGTTGCCACTGTGCTTGCTCAGGATGGGAGACTGCAACAAAGCCAAGATTCAACTTGTCTGCTGGATTCCATAGGGAACTTTACCAATTGGCTTTTATGTAAATGTTTCTGTAAAGTGCCCTGAGACAACATTGTTGTGATTTGGTACTATATAAATAAACTGAATTGAATTGAACTGAATTGAAAGTACGATGCTATAAAAATAAAATCAAACTTTCATTTACAAAAAAAGTAAAAATATCTACATTTTATACCTCTGGACCAGTTGAAAACCCAACACCTTACCTTGGGGTTGACAATGATCTCCATGTCCATTGCGTTCTGCTCCTGCAGCCTCTTGATCGCGGGCAGAGAGATCCACAGGTTGTTGGTGTTGAAGATCTTGAACTTGGAAACAGATTTGAACTCGTCCACATGGGTTTTGGGAACCTGGGCAATCTCAAGCAGACGCAGCTTTCCTTCATACTGGATCAGTGTGCCTCCCTGGAAATAACAGTCAGGTTTACGACATCGTCCACAACACAGAAACAAAAAAAAACTAAAATCATAATACTGGAACATGGAACCAGATCATCACATGAACTCCAACCGTCTGCCTGCATGTACCTTAACGTCAGCTCGCGTCTTATCAGTCACCTCCATGACAAACTCGCAGCGTTTGCCGTTGGGCTGGCTGACCAGGTGGTGCAGGATGTGCAAGTCCACAGTGGCTCCCAGATTGTCGATGTTGGAAACAAAGATGTATTCCTTGCCCTGCGCGATCAGCTTGTCCAACAGACCTGAGTTGTAGAAACTAGCGTAGATGTCGCCGTGACCGGGAGGGTACCAACCATCTGCGTTTTGTCCACTCGTGCGCAGGCTTGTGGCTACAGGAAGAAGAGACTCCTTGTGTATGCGAGGGTACCTGGATAGAGGACAGAGTCAGACTTAAATACTTTTATCTTGTTCAAATCCTCCAACAACAGTTTCATTAGGAAAAAAATGCACCAGACACTTGAGCTTAAAATCACCTCAACCGCTCACTAAAATCAGATCATTTTTAATTTAAAAGAAAACAGCATATGGAGTAAAGGTTTAGAGAGCAATAAAGAGATTTAAATATTTACACCTGCATGAACGTCTTGTTTGAGTATTAGGGGACAGTAACAAACAATTCATTAGTTCACAATTCATCATCAATCTGTCCTCTAGCTCTAATGTTAAAAATCTTGGTGTTATTTTTGATCAGGACATGTCTTTTATTCCCCACATTAAAAACGTTACTAGAACTGCCTTCTTCCACCTGCGTAATATCACTAAAATTAGAAACATGTTATCTAAAAATGATGCAGAAAAACTGGTTCATGCATTTGTCACGTCTAGACTGGACTATTGCAATGGTTTATTATCTGGGTGTCCAAATACTTCTTTAGAACATCTTCAGTTGATCCAAAATGCTGCTGCCAGAGTCTTAACTGGAGTTAGTAGGAGAGATCATATTTCTCCAGTTTTAGTTTCTCTCCATTTGGCTCCCTGTCAAATCCAGAATAGAATTCAAAATCTTACTTCTAACCTACAAAGCTCTCAACAACCTGGCTCCATCTTATATTACAGATCTTATTGTTCCATAGTTTCCTAACAGAGCACTTCGCTCTCAACTGCAGGTTTACTTGGGGTTCCTAGAGTTTCCAAAAACAGAATGGGAGGAAGATCTTTCAGTTATCAGGCTCCTCTCTTGTGGAACCAACTTCCAGTTTCTGTCTGTGAGGCTGACACATTGTTCAGTTTTAAGACTGGGCTTAAGACTTTCATTTTTGATGAATCCTATAGTTAGGGTTGGCTTGTTATGCTGCCATACTACTAGAGGACAAAATGACTTCATTTATTAAAATGAACTGTTAAAATTGAATAGTTTTCATTTGAATTTATTTCTATCTTAGCATGTGCTTTTCGACCTGCCATTGTGTATCTGTTCCTCTCAAACCCATCCAGTCGAAGCAGATGGCCGCTTGTCCTGAGTCTGGTTCTGCTAAAGGTTTCTTCCTCATGAGGGAGTTTTTCCTTCCCACTGTCGCCTTCATGCTTGCTCAAGATGAGAGTTCTGTGATGGAGTTAAATTCAAAGCAGTCTGCTCCTCAGATAATTATTATTAATAACTTGCTTTTTATGTATATGAATGTTTTTGTACAGCACCCTGAGATGACTTCTGTTGTGACTTGGTGCTACAGGTCCTTCTCGAAAAATTAGCATATTGTGATAAAGGTCATTATTTTCCATAATGTAATGATAAAAATGAAACTTTCATATATTTCAGATTTATTGCACACCAACTGAAATATTTCAGGTCTTTAATTGTTTTAATACTGATGATTATGGCATACAGCTCATGAAAACCCAAAATGCCTGTCCCAAAAAATTAGCATATTTCATCCCACCAATGAAAGACAAGTGTTTAATACAAAAAACACCAACCTTCAAAAAATCATGTTCAGTTATGCACTCAATACTTGGTCGGGAATCCTTTTGCATGAATGACTGCTTCAATGCGGCGTGGCATGGAGGCAATCAGTCTGTGGCACTGCTGAGGTGTTATGGAGGCCCAGGATGCTTCGATAGCAGCCTTAAGCTCATCCAGAGTGTTGGGTCTTGCGTCTCTCAACTTTTTCTTCACAATATCCCACAGGTTCTCTATGGGGTTCAGGTCAGGAGAGTTGGCAGGCCAATTGAGCACAGTAATACCATGGTCAGTAAACCATTTACCAGTGGTTTTGGCACTGTGAGCAGGTGCCAGGTCTGCTGAAAAATGAAATCTTCATCTCCATAAAGCTTTTCAGCAGATGGAAGCATGAAGTGCTCCAAAATCTCCTGATAGCTAGCTGCATTGACCCTGCCCTTGATAAAACACAGTGGACCAACACCAGCAGCTGACATGACACCCCAGACCATCACAGACTGTGGGTGCTTCACACTGGACTTCTGGCATTTCCTTCTCCCCAGCCTGCCTCCAGACTCTGGCACCTTGATTTCCGAATGACATGCAAAATTTGCTTTCATCCGAAAAAAGTACTTTGGACCACTGAGCAACAGTCCAGTGCTGCTTCTCTGTAGCCCAGGTCAGGTGCTTCTGCCGCTGTTTCTGGTTAAAAAGTGGCTTGACCTGGGGAATGCGGCACCTGTAGCCCATTTCCTGCACATGCCTGTGCACGGTGGCTCTGGATGTTTCTACTCCAGACTCAGTCCACTGCTTCCGCAGGTCCCCCAAGGTCTGGAATCGGCCCTTCTCCACAATCCTCCTCAGGGTCCGGTCACCTCTTCTCGTTGTGGAGCGTTTTCTGCCACACTTTTCCCTTCCCACAGACTTCCCACTGAGGTGCCTTGATACAGCACTCTGGGAACAGCCTATTCGTTCAGCAGTTTCTTTCTGTGTCTTACCCTCTTGTTTGAGGGTGTCAATGATGGCCTTCTGGACAGCAGTCAGGTCGGCAGTCTTACCCATGATTGCGGTTTTGAGTAATGAACAAGGCTGGGAGTTTTTAAAAGCCTCAGGAATCTTTTGCAGGTGTTTAGAGTTACGTCGTTGATTCAGATGGTTAGGTTAATAGCTTGTTTAGAGAACCTTTTCATGATATGCTAATTTTTTGGGACAGGCATTTTGAGTTTTCATGAGCTGTATGCCATAATCATCAGTGTTAAAACAATTAAAGACCTGAAATATTTCAGTTGGTGTGCAATGAATCAGAAATATATGAAAGGTTAATTTTTTTCATTACATTATGGAAAATAATTACCTTTATTACAATATGCTAATTTTTGAGAAGGACCTGTACATAAATAAACTGAATTCAACTGAATTCAGTTGAATTTCAAAGGAGCTCACTTTATAATCACAAGGGTTAAAGATCATCATCTGCTCACACAGACTCATGTTCGTGCTGCTGTTGTTTGGTGTATTGTTTTTGTACCATTAGTGTATTCTTAGTTTATTGTATTTCTTAGTTCATATCTTAGATCTTATTACTGTTTTTCTTTACAATTTATATTTTTGTTGGATGTAACTGGGGCCCTGTGTACACAATTTCGTTCCACCACATGTACCACATGTGTTGCAAATGACAAAGAAACTTTAACTTTGACATTTAGTTATCATTTTGTTTTTAATTAAACTCTTTGAAGTACATCCTTTAGGTGTGCGTGAAGTGTTCACGCTTTACTTAACGCAGTCACTAGAATTAAGCAGATTACAGACACTTGTCTTTTTTGTTTCAAGTCTGAAGTGAGGCCCTGGAAAAACAAAGTAACACGAGTTCTGAGAAGTACAAGTTGTTCTTTTTATAGAATTGCTTTGACTTCCTACAGCCTCATACTTGAGATTTTACCAAGAAGGTAGACGAGGCAGAATGTCAGACCAGTCCGAGACATCTTGTCTGTGTGTATTAAACTGATGAAGGATGTTTATTTTTTTTTTTAGAAGGACCCAAGTCGGGTCACATTAACAAAAACTATCACGAGTAGCTACGCTGAGAGAGAAATGATGGAGCTTTGAGCTGTTTAAGGACAATTCAGATACAAATGAGAGGAGCTGCAAAGAGGAAAAATCATGTTTGTGTGTGGGGATTTTTTTTTTAAAGTGGGGTGAAATTCATCCATCCATCCATCCATTATCTTTTACCCGTTTATTCCATTTTGGGTCACAGGGGTCGCTGGTGCCCATGTCCAGCAATCACTGTGCGAGGGGCGGGGTACACCCTGGACGGGTCGCATGTCCATCACAGGGACACATAGAGACAAATGAGACAAACAACCATTCACTCTCTCACTCACACCTAGGGACAATTTAGAGTTACCAATTAGCCTAACATGCATGTTTTTGGACTGTGGGAGGAAACTGGAGTACCTGGAGAAAACCCACGCATGCATGGAGCGAACATGCAGACTCCACCCAGAAAGGCCCCTGGACCGGGATTTGAACCAAGGACCTGCTCGCTGAGAGGCAGCAGCTCTACCAGTTGCGCCACCTGCTGCCCGGGTGAAATTCAGTCATGTGAAAATATTTTAATGATCATGTGGGCATGAGCTCGTGGACTTCCAAAGCTTTGCATAAATGTTGCTTCTCCTTTGGATGTAACAGTTGCTTTCAGTTAATTTAAGAGTACAAAGACACAAAAGTCCCATCTCAAGTGTTTCAGATTTTTTTTGTAGATAGACGTTTTAGACATTTAGATTTGAGAGATGGGACAGGTGTATTAACAAGCTCTGCATTCTTCTGCAGTGATGCATACTGGTTGTTCTGTAACCAAAATGCTGACAAACAGAACTCCCTCCTCAAGCGGTCCTATATTTCTCACACTGTCAAAAAGTCTGCTGAGTAACAGATTTAATTGTTTAAAATTACGAAACAACAAATTTTATATTTAATTTTTAAGGCACAAGAGATGCTGAATTATTACTTTTGCTTATTGATAATTCAAAACTTGAATGTTTTGCACATTACACATTTCCTTTTTCACCAGTTTAAACTTAACCTTCAAGATTTCAGATTTCATTTATTAGAAAGTATGTGGAAAATGTACCAATTAAGCTAAAACCAAATATTAGAGGTGAAATAAATAACCAGTAAAGCATAAAGTTAAACCTGTATGATGTCAATTAAATGCTTTTCTGACAGATTCTGTTTCCATGTAGAGCTGCAGCAAAGAGATCCAAACAGGTCAAACCAACCTGTTGAGCTTGTGACTGCAGCCTGTCCAAACCTTTAAAACTGTGATGCAGAAAACACTAAATAAAAGTCTCTTCACCATCTTTGATGAACACAATGCACTGATAAATTAGCAATCAACAACCTGTAGACCTTCATTTTTAATTTGCTGGTACAACAGAGCATCAGCTTCATTTGTAAAAGTTGCAACATTAGTTTTCTATGCAGAA